AAATCAGAATTAATTCGATTTTTAAAATTTATATACATATATATATATATATATATATATATATATATATATATATATATATATACATAAGGTGTTTCGTCCTTCTTAGGACGAAATTTGTTATTTGAAGCCCCACCCTGGCTTTTGCCAGGGGCCGCAATATAGGCAGGCCATAAATATGGCCAATTGTCTGAACACGGTTTCTGGGACCTCTCCACGGCGATCTTCATCCACATGGTGGCACTTTGTGTCATCGGGTGTTTATCGCTTGTGTGATGTCCTGGTGGGGTAGAAAGTCAGTCAGTCAGTTGCTTATTTATTTCTTTAACACACTAAGAAAACCTGCACAGGAAGCTGAGAAATCTATTCTGGACTACTGAATTTACAATGTGCAATAAAAAATATACAACCAAACTGAATCAACACAAAACTCCAATTTGTGTGGAACTAAAGTGGACCTCAGAACAAAACAAGGGTTGAAATAATCATGAAAAAAAGCTTGATAATGAAATCATAAAAGATGTAACTGCAAGAAGTATAACATCAAATCCACATTTTATGTAACAAAATGTTACTTGTTATCCGCACTGTGCTGGGATGCACATCGGTCTGACCCATTTGTGCTCCGTCCTCTAATGCAGCAGCCATCATAGTGTCTCCATGCTCACCGTACCAATTAAGAGCTGACTGGGACACCACCTTTCCTTGATCAGAAATAGGTTTCTGCATGTGTATCCGTGTTTAGTACCCCATTTCCAAAAGGTGGTTTATCATCTCTGACTCATTTGCCCCAATGTCTCTGGAAATAGTGCATTCAGTATGTCTGCCCTGTCCATACTTCTTCCTCCACTAACTTCTGCAGACACAGCCAGTCAACAAAACAAAATGTTGCAGTGTTCATCATATATTGCTATCTAGGAGGCGAAACATACTTGATACTTTGAAAGAACTATGTTAAATTTTTCATCATTATCATCATCATCAGCATCAAGTGCCCTGTCAGTAAGCATGATCACTACCTCACACAAGCTTACATCAGCATCGGATCGAGTTAGTTCTCCCCTCCCCCCATGGATTCCAGGGCCCCATATGGGGGTGGGGGGTAAAAGTCTTAATACTGTTCTCTAACAAGCATGTCAAAACAGCATACTATTTAGAGTTTTGCTGAAATCGGATTTGTCGGGCCAAAAGAAAAAGATATCACAGCCTCACTGCAAACAACACAACATGCCAACCATCATTTTACAGGTGAATGCAAAGGAAGAACAAACAGACTTTATTTTTTAAAGGGTTCAGAATAAGGCAGGCAGACAGGCCCGTAATAACCCTTTCACCCTGGTAACGCAAAGAAAAAAACGGGTAATGGCCCCGTTGGTATTCCATAATACAATGCAAAAGGAAATATTTTACACAGGTCACAGCTGATCTCATATTATTTTACATTCTTGATTTTATGTTAAATGCAGCAAATTTTATTTTAACATTCGTTAAATATAAGCAACAGTATCATTTAAAGACATTATTTTAGAAATCTACATTTGATGTTTGTAAACTGTGTATTTAATGTTAATATTAATCTAATGATTGGCCGCGTTCATGGCTTAGGCGATCGAAACCCACTGCTGGCTGCGTGGATTTTTATCATGGTATGGGGCATCGCAGGTCGACCCAGCCTAAAATTGGTACCAGGATGTATGCCCTAAGACAGTATAGACCACATTAACCACCTAGTACCGATTGATCTGTAAAAATTTGGGTGCTTTTCATATATGCCCGATGCGCCTAAAGGTGCAAGGGATCTTTACTTACTTTACTATTAACCTTTTGATTTAGTTTAATTAGGGATTGCTTTCACACATTTAGAAAACTTGATAATAATATAACTAGAATGCCCTTGCTTTTGAAACCCTCAGGACCTTAAACCTTTGGCTCTGAGGAGCAACAAAACTGAAACTTCCCACTGGTATCTTCTCAGTAAGAGCCCTTTTCCAACTCGCTATAGACAGGTTTACAAGACGTCTAGCTAACAGTATTTAGTCCTCTTGCATCAGCACAAACATTAAGCATTACAGGTATGACTAACTTTAGTTTTTTTTTATTTTTATTCTTTATTTAGAGTGTTTCCATTTCAGAAAATGGCTTTTTTTAATAGAAATTTCAGTCACATTTTCCCCACTGGCTACTATGGTTACCGGATCACAGGGTCAAGCAAGTGCCATGGTATAATCAGTTTTTGAGCCTCAGAGATGCAAGCCAGTTGACTCTATAATACATTCATTTTTATTAATTTCTCCTCTTACCCAGTAAGTATTTGTTCATGTTTTGGGCGATAAATTGATTTTATGCGATTCTGTTTAAGACATGAGTAAAATGGTTGTGTTTTTTCAGATTTATTTCTGGGAATTCCCTAAATAGGGTGAGTGCAGGAGCTTGGTTTTTTTTCTAGGTCACGTGGATGAAAGGGTTAAAAAGTAAAAGACCTCAAAACTTTAAGAAAAATAAATTCAACACAGAGATTAATAAGAAGGGAATACAACTGAATGATATGCACAAGATTGCAAAGAATAGGAAGGTTGGAATGAGCTGAATGAGAGACTTTGCTCAATCTCATAAATGTCAACTAATTATGGGGTTTCCTTCAGAGCTGGAGTTCACCTGCCTGAGAAACAAGTAACCAACAGTCCATATACAAGTTAGCTAGATTTGATAAAATGGATGTGCAAATGAAACTCAAGTTCTGGAGCAAGTCTTAAGTCCAGAAGTGGATGAACAACCAGAATTTTCCGCGGGAGTTTACAGTCAGTGAAGGCTAAGAAGAAGAAGAAAGAATCAAAAGATTTCACTAACACTGTCTTTTAAAGGATGATTAACAACCAAACCATTCCATGTGTGGTCTGGAGCCCCATCTTTGGAAAAAGAAACAAATAAACAAAAAATAGCTCCACTGCCCCTTAACATGCATGTACTAGAATGCAACTAATTTAGGACTTACTGGAATCTGATATGCTGGGTTGAAAGGTCATATATTGCAGCCTAGAAGAAGACAGCCAAGCCAGTCAGGCATCATAAACCATTCATCAATCGGTATTTCCAGACAAAACATAACTTTAAAAACAAAAATAGTATGGTTTTTAAATATTTTATTTTTTCCCCTATACTGTCAGTACAACACCTGAACCTGGACCCACCCCCACACAAAACAAACTTGCCAAAGCAGAGACAAAATGCTGCAAATAACATGGAAAAACAAGGCATAAAAAGGTATCACAAATGTACCATTCACAATTTTCATTCAAGCCAGATAGGTCCTTTAGGAGCAAGTTGAAATGCTGAAGCACAACAGATCATTTGGTTGTAAAGAGAATGGTGCTATGAGGAATGACCAGGGCACTTGGCCATCTTTGCACCCAGAGGAAAGGCAAGAAGAACATATATAATCAGACTACTTCTGGTACCAGCCGCCGTGGCTAAGAGGCTAGACACTTGCCGCGGATTCAAAGATCGTGGGTTCGCTCCCTGGCGGAGTCTGACATTTTTGAAAAATGACCTTGGCTTCCAGGTCGACCCAGCCTTGAGTGGGTACCAGGTGCAGTCCCGGGAAGTAAAGGCCACCAGCGTGATGCTGATCACATCACCCAACTTGTGCCGATTGGTCTATAAAATATAGGTCTAAACCTACATGCCCTATACGCCTAAAGGTGTGGAAAAGGGTCCTTTACTATTTTTACTACTGGTACCATCAGTATTCCAACTGTCTGCAGGCTGCTGAAGATGAGAACAGAGTATGTATGGAAAATTTTCTGAATGTTGTGATTTCCGTTCTTGACTTGACTCAGCTAAAACATATCATTATCATTTGTCCACATGGTTTAATTATTCAGGTCTTAAAACACATTTTAATATTCTGGATCTTCAGAATAATTTATCTCTGCCTTTAAGCCTCTCGCCCCAGTGACAATAAAAAAATTTCAAAAAAAAAACCAAAGAATTGTATTTTAGGACTTTTTGAGTTTTTCTAAAGAAGAAAAATGTACTTAAGAAAAATGTGTACACAGTCAACACACTGTCATAATCATAACAATTACATTTTTGGACCAAAGCAATAATTTTTTGTAAATAAAGTAATGGGAGTAATCAATAAACATATATGGGGCAGAGAAGTGACTGGGTCTGGGTCACATTTCTCCTGTGTTCTTAAAAAAATGTTTAGCGTGACCTATTCTTGACCCCATGACCTGGCCAGTTACCATTGTAACAGGAAATTCTGAGGTCCTAATTTCTAAAAATAAAGCCATTTTCCACAAGGAACCCACACCTAAATGTTATTTTTAGCAACTATGCTTATTACCGGTAATTCTAAAGGTTGCTCGGGAACAAATGGAAGCAATGCCGTTAGTGGGTTTCCTCGTAAAGAAGCCTCTATAGCAAGCTAGGAAAGAGACATTAAAGTACTATGGCATAAAATGAAAGCACTGGACTTTGTGCTACTCGGGGCGAGAGGGTTAAGTCATCACATGTTCTATAAAAAACCCTCTTCTCATCATTAGGAAAAAAAAAACTGTCTCTTTATTATAAAAAAAAATGCAACTGTAAAAGCTTGGTGGACCATAATGATAGGGTGAAAAATCCAAAGCATGGACCATAAGAAGAAAACTGTAAGAAGGGACCATAATAGTGAAGAACAAATAAAAAAAACAACAACAAAAATTATTAGTTTTTGTTTTCTTTTAAACAGTATGGTACAATGGAAAAAAAAATACTGACCACAATACTCATGAACGATGAAGGTGAAAACCAATACCCAATTATAAATTGTTGAAAAATCATTACAAACCATGACAATTATCCTCCAATAATAATAACAGGACTATGGTTGTTAATGGACATGGAAATAACAAGGAAAGTAAATGTGGCCTGTGTGATGCTGACCACATCACCACATCTACAAAAATACGAGTCAAGCATCACATACCTTATCCTTCATATAGTGAACAGATTCATTAGAGCATTTTCTTTGGCACCACAACACAGCCGGCCTGTAGGGCCTGTCTGTGCAGACTAATATACCCTTCCACGCTTTTCTTCTTTTGAGTAACAAATTTATCACAGAATTCTGTTCGTGTCATGACTGGGGTCACATCCGGGTGCCTCACGTAATGAAGAAATTCAAAAACATAGTCAAAACAATTCCACTCATTTTCTCTGTACCTAAAATGAAAAAGAAAGAAAAGGCTGTTGACAAAGACATTTATTTTTCATTCACTCTTGTCTCTTCAACTCTGGTCTGTAAAGATACACTACTGTCTTATTTAGTCATCTGTACCCTGTAAAGTAGTCACTTACTATCTTTTTACATTTTTTTTTTGGTCACCTGTACCCAGTAATGTACAGTAGTACCTTACTATCATAATGATCATCCCACAACTTCAATCCTGTGCCAAAAAATTCATACAGAAAGCCCATCACTGTCCCTTGTGAAAAAAACTGACAGTCTCAACAAAGCCAGCTGCATAAGCTGCCAGCACAAACAGTCTAGCATTCATCATCATCATCATCATGTAGCAGGTCCTTTGCAGAATATCGCTCTCATCACGGTCTGCCTGAAAGTAACTCGGTCTCTAGCCAACTCTCCCACCTCATGTACTTTCATACTCAAGGAGTCACTTATATCCTGTTCCCATCTTCGTGTTGGTTGGCCCCTGCTCCTCCCTCCTGATACCCTGCCTTCTGCTATAATTTTGTCCAATCCGTCGTGGCACTTGATATGACCAAAATATTTCAGCTTCCGAGACAGGATGCTGTTTATTAGAAAATCTTCCTTGATGTTCAAATCTTTAAGATGTCAGTATTTCTCTTCTTTGTCCAAAATATAGGAGAAGAAACACCAGATCATGATGGCACAGTATGCGTTGGAGCAGGTTAACCAGTTCAAATACCTTGGAGTTTTCCAAAATGGAGGCTTAAGACCGAGCTGGCTAGAAAAGCAGCTGCTGGGAGACTCTGAGGGTTTCTTAGCAAAAGAGAAATTGGCAAGAGGACGAAAATGGCTTCCTTACCGCTCTACCTATGTACCAGTCCTGACCTATGGGTGTAAGTCATGGGCAATGACAACAGCTCACAGAAGCCAGCTGCAGGCCTCGGAAATGAGATACCTGAGAAAGGTGGTCCAAGTGACAAGAAGGGACAAAGTCCACAATCAGACAATACGTCAAGATCTTGATACCCAAGTAGATCAGTCACAGTTGGTTTGGACTGATGAGAATGGAGAAAATCTGGCAAGCATGGGAGGCTAAGAACCAGGGAACCAGACCTAGGACGACCCAGGGTTTCCGAGTCCCTAACTAAAGGAGTCCCTATTCTCTCTCTTGGCTTAAGGACTGGAAGATAGTCCACGGCTCACATCCGTATGTTGCTAGAGGGAAGATGCATGCTCTCAAAATTCTAATTTTGATCTCCTTGCTGGTGCTTAACCATAGACATTTTAGGCTAGTCTGGCATTAGAATTGCAATATATCATCTATCTGAGCAGCAGTTACAACAAATCAGTAGTTGCACACATAACTAATCACATAAGGCACTGCCAGTTCTGTGGCAACAGGTCACTCACCATTTATTGAATCTGGGCACAGTCGAAAAGCATTCCAGATCAAATCTGCAGCTTTGGAGCTACTGGGGCTACAGTAGATCAGCCGGGAGGGGAAAACAGATCAAATTTTGTTACATCTGGTCAAATGAACAGAATTTTAGCATCTTAAAAAAATAATTACTTAAATTAATGATACCTTGATTTATCCCACACCGGCTGCTGGCTGAAAATCTCAAGGGCTTGATCTAGAACTTCTGCCTGACCATGGCCATAGGACATGACAACCAAACAGTCAGGCCACACTGATCCCTGATGGAGGCCATTTTCATCAAAATCATGCACAAAACCTGGAGGATGCATGCATTTAAAGTTTAAAAAATTAAACGACAAGAGGAATGGTCAAACATGATTAAAAACATCACAGTGATAACACGTTAAAAATGAGAATTGAAAAAATAATATATATACATAATGACAGCTGTGAACTATAAATGTAAAAGACTAGTAATTACTTTTTTTATACCATAGTCACAACCGTAAGGAAACCATAAGGAATGTTTCATTATAATTTATGTGGACCAAAATTAGTATGGTACTCACCAAATCTGTCAGTGACTCCAATATGCAGATTGCAAGTTGCTGAATAGTCTCTATGTTGATTTAAAAAAATAAAGAAAAACAATAACTAAAAAGAAATGAAAGAATGGATTCATTTTTACGACAAATCATGCTGCAAACTATATAATTAAGTATTTTAAAAAATACAAGTTGTCGGCATAAATTTAACGATAGGTGGTAATGACATTTTCTCACCTTGTTACCCTGACTGCCCACAGTTAAGCTGTGGCAAAGTGACTGAGCCATTTGCTCCATGCTCTGAAGGTTGTGGGTTCATTTCATGGACATGCCACTCAGTTCACGAACGCAGTTTTTAATAGGGATCTTTGGGGATTAGTACTGGAGCTACAGGAATCATGCTTTCTGCGAAGCTCTCTGCCTGAAGACTCAGTCTCTTTGCAAAGCAACAACTCACCTGCTGAGAGTGCTAAACAAAACACAAAACTCCAAAGCTCCAGTGACGATCCCCCGAAATACAACCATTCAAGACCAAATGACGAATTCTGAAATTGAACCCTTTACCTTCAGAATGCAAGGCAAATACTTACAAATCTTTATTTGGACTTTAAACAATTTGCTGTTTTGCTGAGATTACATTCTACCTTTTTTTTTTTTTTTTTTAAATAAGGACAGCGATGGTTCTGTATGGTTTTAAGCTGGCACAAGAACAGAGTAATTATGGGGTTACTTGTTTGCTTGAAGCTGAAACTATGATTAACTAACTTAAACAGCCTAGCCAGCCTGCTGTTTATAATTCCAACTACCGCAGGCGACATGTACATTTGTCCTGCAAGTTCTTCTTCTTTTCTTCTGCCTTTTATCCCCCAATGGAGCAGAGGCTTTCAGTTAACTCACACCAAGTCATTCTATCTTGTAATACTGACTGCAGCTCACACATGTCCTCCCCATCTCTTCAACTTCGTTCTCTAGCTCCCTCCCTTCTTCATGTGTTTTTTGGTCTGCTTTTACTTCTTTTCCCCTGTGGGTTCTAGTGCAAGTTGTTCACCCCTCTCTTAGCAGGCCAGATGCTTCATCCACTACCTAGGGATAAAGAATGAAAGAGAAAGAGATGGAGGAGGAGGGTGAATATACTATAGTTTTTTTGTGTGGGTCCAGTCACTGTATTACCTAGTTAAAGTTAGTTGTGTATCCTTTACAGGATGTTGCAGAACCGACTCCAGCATTTTCTGGCTGTTGTGGTTTTCATGGGCATGTTTTATGTCCAGTAGTTTGTTATGTATTACCTAGGCTCTTGTTAAACTTGGTATTACGAACCTCAGAAAATCACCATGTGTCGGCTTCAGCACAATGGATTGTGGTGCTTCTTGTGAAGAGCTTAATGGAGACGTCAGCACAAAAGGAGGGATGCGACACCCAGTGGATGTGCTCTGTCCACAAAGAGGGCATGTGTCAGGCAGACGGAAACAAACAAGGTCAACATCTTTCCGACAGTGCTGAAAACTGCGTAGGTGAGGAAAGTCTGTGGCCATATAACAGATCTAGGTAGCTTCCAAGGCCAGCCTCATATCCGATTTATTTTTACCCAAATGTACCTATAGGAAAAGAATAAATAAAACACTGTCAAGAACATAACATTCGGAGGACAAAATGCTTGAAGTTTTTCATGTTTTAGCTCCATACAACAGTACTAATCATGTTATCTATATTGCTACCACATTTTGAAATGAGGTTTTTCAAGTATAATTAATGACTACTTGCAATACTGTGCAGCAGTTTTTTTTCCTCAGTCGCTGTCAAATGGAGTTAAAAAATTTGTTAATTCACTCACAGACACACGTATAATGTTTTTTTTCTGCTAATAAGAGGTTTGCATTATTATATCGTAAGGCAGAATAATGCTATTCCGGATCACTTTAAATATTCCTAAAGATAAGATTATCTCAATCAGTGCTTTTTTTCCTGTTGGTTTGCACCTTTTTAGGTATCATATTTTTCAGCACTGTTGCAAGACTTTGTAGTGAATAGTGACACCTTTTTTGAATACTTGTTAGAACTGGCACCTTACGGGGGGGGGGGGGGGGGGGGGCAGATCATAATAATGAGTCAATACACCATTAAATAACAATCAGTAACTGACAAACATGTAAATTACTATAACAACAAATGTTTAACCATTTCACCCTGAGAAGCCGGAAAATCGGCACTTCGGGCTGGGCTAATTTCCCGTCAGTGTCATTTTTCTGACTTGCCTATCGTGACCTGTATATGAGATGTATTGTTAATGCAAGTTGGCTCAGTGCGCACCTGGGAAAAGGTTTAGGGGGTCAGGATATGAATAAATTAAATAAGAAATGTAATTATAAGAGTTTTCCATTGGGTTAAAGGGCTTTTTAAAACCAAGATGACGTCAGATTTTTTCATAATCCTCAATGGTAAAGGTCACAGCATCAGTCACCCGATGCTTGAGTGTTTTTAGGCACCGGGGCCTAATGCTTCACTCCGTTCATATTTATTGATTACTTATTTCGTAAATTTCTACATATTTCAAAAAATAATTTTAAAATATAATTAGTTAGTTAGTTAGTTAGTTAGTTGGGTTATCATCATTGCACTCCGGACATGTCCATAGGTGCTCAGATCCTCCCCTCAGTATGAACCCCAACGTCCGATGGCTAATAGTACCAGTTCTATGTTGATAACAAGTCTTCTGACGTGTCTGGTGTGCGTCTCGTTTTTTGCTGTGCCGATCTTAATTCCCAAGTCTGCTATTCTGGCGAGTGATGTGGATTAAATAAATTGCAAACACATTCGTTAGTGATCCGCGCATAAATTGCTGCTTTACAAATTTTTTTCAGGAATCCTAACAGGGTCAAGAACCTTTTTTTTTACGCACTCGGGGAAAAAAGTTAAAGTAAAATTAAGAATAGACATCACAGCATTCAGGATATTCCCAAAAGCGCTTTATCCCCATCTTCAGCAGCAAGCGCAGAGTTCCAATTCCAACAGTATGCATAACAGTCTAAATGTATATCAGTCTCATCTTCCCCTTGAGTGTTGAGCATCGGCCAGATCACCTGGTCACTCCTTGCAGCACTGTTATCTTCAGACTGTAATGATCTATTTGTGCCTTTGTACTCTCTCCCAAATGACCCTTACAATATCTAGCTTGTCATGCATCAATTCCCTGCCAAGTGATGCAGAACCAGCCAGTCTATCTGCTTGTTCTTTGCCTAAAACACCGGCATACTTCGAGGAAATATCCAAAGAATAATAACTACATGGAATCTTTGAAGTGATGATTGCCACTCTGTACAGAGCATACCTATCTCCACCTTTCTCAACATGCTCTGTGAGTCAATATTTCTAGTAAAGAAATTTAAAAAGAACATTTATATTATAGTCTATATATCTTATTTTTAACCAAGATGGGCTGTTGAACATGATGTCACTGTTACAATTACTACTACTCTGCTTATAAATAAATGATGTAAATTCTACCTGACTTGATAAAGAATGAAGAAGCATTGACTGCATTTCATTTTGTCACTTTTAATACTATTAAATTTTGGCAGAGAACAAAAGAAATTCAAGTGAATCTAGAGGTGAGGAAAAGACGCTGGCGTTGGACAGGACACAAACTGAGTATACCTGAGACTAATATAAATAGAAGAGTTTAAAATGGAACCCACAAGAGTATCGAAATAAAGGTAGACCCAAAAAACACATGGAGAAGGGAGACAGAGGGTAAAGTTAAAAAGATGGAAAAGACATGAGGTAAGCTGTGTGCAACAGCAGAGGATAAGACAACCTGGCTTTAGTTGGTTGATGGCCTATGCTCCCCTAATGAAAAATGGTAGAAGAAAAAGAAGTCTATTAAGTAGACTGTTTTTATAATTTTTTAAACAAAAAAATTAGGGAAATTATACTATTAAAGTATTCACTCCAGTCTCTGTCAGTCAGTTCAGCATACTCTATTAGTATGAAGCAAAATACAGGAAAACCTTTGTATACATCTACTTTGCAGAGACTGAGCTAAGTTGCTTCAAGTCCAAAATGAGTCCCAAGCCACCAAGTCTCAAGTTAAGATTTAAGTCACCAAGAATGCTTCTAAGCTGAGTCCCTTTCCGAGTCAAATTCCTTCATGTATCAAGTCATTAGTAAGTCATCCATGGATGGGACACTGCTTAATGATCAATTAAAAATGGCGAAAATGCAAATTTGGAAATGGCGGTGCCAGAAACTCACTAACTATATATGAAAGCGGAGGTCAAATGTGAAAGCTTCATAAACTGAAATAGGATTTACTCTGTCTTGTTTTGTTTTATGTTAAGATTTTTTTTAATGTGACACTGATCACCAAACCTCACAGTGTCTGGCCGCCAAAAACAAGTTGTACAAAGTTGTCAAGGCTACAAGTCGCAAGTGTAGTCGCAAGTCGTTAATTATGTGACCTAAGTCGAACTTGAGTCCAAGTCAGGTGACTTGAGTCCTGACCTCTGCTGCTTTGGTATACGTCCAACTTTGTATCCATCCTTTCAATACAAGAAAGATTTTGCTCAGTTTATGATCTTTGTTTGAAATAGAATCTGTGTGAGAAAAAAATTAGTCATAACACCAGGTGCTACCCTTGTTTGCCTCTCTTATTATTCTAGGAAATTTCTGCTAAATGGAGGGATATAACAAAAAAATTCAGAAAAGTACCACACCAACAAAACCCTAAGAAGCTGTAATAGCATTCTTTGGACAGATTTTTGGTAAAAAAAAAGCCAACCTGGTGAGCTTTGATCAGGTCCAAGTAGGGAAAAGAGACAGAAATAAAAACAGATAAAAAACACAAGAATTTATGTTCCCTTAAGTTTTACTGGATGGGGACTCTCCTGCTAAAAACAATAACATCTCCTCTCAGCACCATCCTAGCAGGTAATAGACTCTTAGCAAGGTGATGTTAAAGGTATCTTTTTTAATCAAACTGTTTTTGTATTTTAGTATTAAGGCAGTATTTATTTTATAATTTAAATAGCAACATCAATGCAATATGCCAATATTAATAATTAAAACACTACCTTTTTTCCTGGGAACGGACCCAGTAAATAGTAATAATCATTCTCCTTTTATTTATTATGGGAAAATTCGTTTGGTATACGTCTTGTTTTTTGGTATACGTACACGACGTCCAAGGATCTTGATCGGATTAACTCTTTACGGATGTTTAGCCAGTATACTGGTGATTAAGTCTATCCCTTTAAGATGTATCCCCAGTATACTGGAACATGACAGAGACACTCTAATTTTGTTCCGTTTGTAGGGAAAACGAACTTGTATGAACAAGTTTTTGAACAATTAGGATTGAAAACAGGAAGTCCTTTTGTTTGCGAGGTACATTGTGGTTGGTGCATACGTTTTCTGATTAAAAAAAAAATTATTTAGATGGGAGACAATTTTTATGTGATTTTTCTATACTAAATGATAAGGGAAAAGGTCTAGAACTGTTCATACTGCTCTATCGTTGATAAATCTCTGCCAGATGGTGACAACAGTCTTGATATTATGATTGATATCTAAGTGACAAATCTACTAGCGATAATTTAGTTCAGGATATGAAAATTTCACAAACTATTTAAATTAGATCAATGTTTTGATCAGCTGTTTTTCCGATTTTTGGTTGTTATGAAAATTGACATGTGATAAAAAAATTAGGCTATCTTCCGAATAACGGTCCCAAATTATCGAGGCCAAAAAATATACCTTAATGTGCGGCGTGGGGCTAAACTAGATAAAATGAAGAAAGCTGCAGGAGATGCGGTAGCTACTGCTCAAGAGTCCCAGCCATCTAGTTTAGCCCCAATCCACGCCACGTGTAGCAGCATTGTAGATACTCTGGGCGGTGGCAGTAGTCGCCGGAAGTGGGGAATTTAAGTCGCTGGAAGTCCGCAATTTACATCTGACTGAGGCCCTGTTAGGGTTATATTTTCGGCCTTGGTAATTTAGGGACCGTTATTCGGAAGATAGCAGAAAATTATTTACATTAAAAATGTTGTGCTTACCTTATTTTTTACTTGTTCAATAACACTGCTATTCAATTCTAAGAATGCATATGCCTTCTCTGTTCAATTATGTATTAAGGAGTCTTTATTTGAAACAATTAATTTAAAGACATTATAATAATTTTTAGGTTATCCTCCGAATAACGGTCCCAAATTATCGAGGCCGTAGCCGCGCGGGAGATACTCTCAGTGGTGGCGATAGTCGCAAGAAGTCCGCAATTTAGGTGGACGGAAGTTCGTAATTTAAGTGGCCAGAAGTTCGTAATTTAAGTGGCCGGAAGTTCGCAATTTACATGTGACCAAGGCCCTGTTGGTGTATATTTTCGGCCTCGATAATTTGAGACCGTTTTTCAGAGGATAACCTAATTTTCATATGTGTCTAACATCCTTGAATGTTGTGTGATTTTAATAATATTTTGTTGTTATACTGACATTTAAAAATTTAGATTTATTCTGCACTCATTTACTTTAATTTGATATTTTTC